TATTTAATTGTTGATATATTTATGATCCACGTCAAGTATTCAGTTTTGGCGGCAGTTCCTCATGTTTGTCTAGAAGTCTTCTCATCAGGGCTCTATAAATAAAGAACTACGGCAGATGTATAATATTTAATGCAGCCGAACCGTGTATTACAATGCCGTTATGTGATGACTTCCAAAGAGAAAGCAAGAACACTCTGAATTAGGTATTATTTTATTTTTCGTTTTCGGATATCATATCTTATTAACACCATATCCCAGCGTTCATTACGGCTAAAACATCCAATCAACGAGCTTCAAGCTGAGGATCTTGGGTAATCAGTTCGGTGGGTTTGTGGTGTGTATCGCTCGAAATTTCCCATCTGTTTCCGGTGACTTTATTTACGGCTAAAAAGCCCAAGATTATAGAATTAAACGAATAAATAAAAACAAGGATAATTGTGTGTTATGGTTGAGTAAATAACAGTGTGTTATTTAGAAAATAATAACAAATTAGAAGGAAAAGATTTTAAAAAATACAGATTTCAGTATTTTGAGGCTCTAAACCCCATTTATTTTCCTCACAGATGGAAAAAAGTCCGACATTATACGATTTAAAATAAAAACAAATAAATAAAAAGATAAAACACTGGCATGTAATTTACGTTAGAATAAATAGAATGGTTTTTAATAATAGATGAGAGTAAAATCTACGTCACTTTACAGCCCCGCCCACTTTTGGGGAAACCAACGCTGTCATTTGAACGGCGATCAAGCCTGAAGCCACAGAGCTCTTCTTTTACTGTCTTTTCTTCTTAGAGGAAGTACAGAAACAAGTAACTCTGGATTTGTTTTCATCTTTGAGGTGCAATAAACGACACAGCAGCTTTTTGGCATGTTAAAACTATTATTTTCTGCCTCGCTCATGAGAGCTGCTGAAATTTTCAATTTTCAAAATTTCAAATGTGTGCTCTAAAATGATATTTATAAATGACTATTATCATTATTATAAGCAAGACAATAAATGGCAAAGATATGTAGAAAATAAACGTATTTAAGATACGTTCATAACGAACGTAACGTGGGAGAAAATACGTTTCTAGAAGATATGTAGAAAATAAAGGTATTTAAGATACGTTCATAACGAACGTAACGTGGGAGAAAATATGTTTCTAGAAGATATGTAGAAAATAAACGTATTTGACCCGTTCAAATCCAGTTTTGGACAGTCTGCCGTGGTTCCATCCCATTTCAAAGTGCTGTTTGACGCTCGGCGTAACCCTCGGAGCATACTCTCCAATCACAGAGCTTGAGGACTATCACAGGGTTTGTCAAGCAAAGCGGAGAGAATACTTACTTCCGGGTGTAAAATTCTCTAAAGCAAATGAGCTGCTCCGACCCTCGGTCCTGACGGACTCCAACTTGTGTTTATTAATCAAACAAATAAATAAACACAAGGATAATTATGTGTTATTGTTGAGTACATGGAGAATTGCACAGGGGAAAATAACGTATCTATGCCACAATTTTAGATGCGGATTTTGTTAAACTAATAAGTTTGCGCTGTGGACCAACACTATAAATTGACGGGGAAGGGGGTAGCATTAAAGATAACACCATTAAACAGTTACACAACATAACAGAAATAATATCGATAGCAGCGTCCCTAGCAACCACCTTGGTAACAATGAAAACGTTGTATAGACACAATTTCCTGAAGTAATCTTCGTAATAACTAGCAAACTAAAGATCATGTACATCCACTGCACACATAATCTGAAATAACAACTCATATTTCTCGCATCAAATGAATCAAAACGCATTTTAATGGCCAAACTAACCTTAAAATAGGCATTTTCCACCGAGAATAAAACGAAGTTCGGCCATGTTTTTTTTTTCTGCAGGGAGAAATTTCAAGATCACGTGACATAGACGCCAGCCATTGGAATGAATGGTGAAAAAAAACGTAGGGATCTTACAATTTCAGAGGCGTTTTTGTAGAAATACTACGTCCCAAGTTGTGGACCAACGTAGTTATTACACGTTTTTTTGTGAGACTGGGTTGGTAATTCACAAATCAAAGTGTTCACATTTGAATTGTATCTTTCTGTATTTTCTAATCAATTATAGGACAATTATTCTGTATGATTGGACAGTAACGGCTGAGTGTTCACAGTGCAACTCCTCTTCCCTTTTTCCCCACATTTCAACTTGGCTGGGGATGCAATCTGTTTGTACTCAAACACCCAGAATCACTCACACACTCACACACTATTCAGCCATTGTTGTTGTTTTATAAAGACCCTAATTGAAAAGCTGGGCATGATGACGCGTTTCGGACATAAGGTCGTACATCATACTTTGTGAGGCAGGCGACAGAAGCTGCCATTATTGGATCAGCAATGCTTCATTAAGTCTCCACACGACACAGTCTGCCACTAACGTCTGTGGACAGAGAGATGGAGGGGAGGGAGAGAGGAAGAAGTTAGGACAAAAGCTAGGAGAGGGAAGAGAGAATGAAAAGGGAGCTTACAACTGAGTGATGGAGAAGAGAGAATGAAACTATAGTTGGGCAATAAGGCAAAGAAAACAAAAGATAAGAGGGAGATTAAATGTGAAAAGTAAAAATTGAACAAAACCACAGATTTCCACAATTTTCTGCAATTCAAGCTCATTTGGTGATTCTTCCAGTAGATAATATGATGTAAATTGGTGAGTTAGGAAACAATGCATTATAGAAATTGTCCTGAAGCTTTCCGTTGATGCTTGCTTTGTCTACACTTTCCCAGCATCTCAGGCAGTGAGTTGACAAACCCTCCAGCAGCTTACTTACTCAGAAGATAATTTCACTCCATCCATCCATCCATCCTTTCATCTTTATGTGGCATTTAAACGGAATAATGTTGTTCACTCAGATTGTATAAGATTAGAGGAATACAAAGCATAAGGGACAAATGTCAACTTAATACAGTAGATAGATAGAATTGGAGGGAAGAAACCCTCTTTAATGGTCACACATGCAGAGCACACAGAGTGAAATGTGGCCTCTGCATTTAACCCATCCTAGTACCAGGAGCAGTGGGCAGCGCCCGGGGAGCAATGGGAGTGGTGGGGTGGGGTTGTCTGTTGCCTTGCTCAAGGGCACCACGGCAGGGCCCAGGAGGTGAACTGGGACCTCTCCAAATAGCAGTCCACACTCCATATTTTAGGTCTTGTTGGGGACTTGAACTGGCGACCCTACGGCTCACAGTCCAAGCCCCTACTGACTGAGCCACTGCCGGGTATCAGTATTATTATATTCAAAAGATTTACTCAATGTATCATTGACTGACAAACAGGTGATAGCAGATATCTACACTGTGTTCACTGCAGGAATGTGAGCTCACAATAGCAAAGACATGGTGCTATCTGCTGGCTGTTCTGTGCATCACATCTTTGAAACAGATGCAGGCTTTTTAATTTTTTTTGGAGACCGATGTCTTACCTTTGACGGTTTTCCGACATCATATGAAGCCGCTGCAAACCTGCACAGGTGTTTTCAACTATTTTGGCTAGTTAGAGAGAACTGTGTAGACAAGCACAGGAGGTTTGCTTTAGTAGCATTGACTGAAAACACCTGTTTTAGTGTACCATGACATGGCAATACCCATACCAAACAATTTATAGTCAGAGAAATATTGAGTATGTCGCAACACAAGGTATGTTAAATATTGCATGCCAAAACCAGAATACCCTATTGCATCCAGCCATATTTTGTATTATGCATGTTTTCTGAGTATTGTGTCCCACAATCCTTTGCCCGGCAGATATATGATCAACAGGATCGAAGTTCAAGGAGCCAAGTTGGGACAAAATGGAGCAGTGCATATTTTGTAAGGGCAACTTGAGTACAGTATGTACTTCAAATAAAAGAAGTATTGAATTTGGTACGCAGTATTTCATTATATTTTCAATGCTAAAATATTGACTTTGACATATTCTCCTCCAGTTTGTGTATATGATGTTAACAGAATTAATTGACCAAATATGTCAAGGTATACCTCACCACACTCACTTAGTTTGCCTTAAAACTTGTATCTAATGAAGTCACATTCAGATGTTATCAGTTCGTGCTACTCAAAGAGATGAGACACATATCGCTATCTCAATTAAAATCTTTGTTCCTAATTAGAAGCTTTAGTGGGTAGGAAAAACTAATGCATCAAATTGTGAGGTAGACATAATAGCATTTTAATGAACACCGATATTGATATCGAATCATGAGTGCAAAAAAACCAAAAACATTTAGAATAAATTGTAAGACGTTGGACCACTTTTTGTGTTTGTCAAATGATTATGATTATTGGATCGGAGTACTTGTAATTATTAAAAGTCACTGCACATAATATGTATTTAGAAGATAAAATGAGGGATATCAATTATTTAGTGAATAGATCCAACCATCGTAATAGAATAACAAATCATATCACAATTGCACAGCTGCTAGTCTAACAGATAATTAAAAGTATCTATGTTTGACATATTTCACCAAGTTGGAGATACATGACTTATTGATCAGAGTGCCAGCCACCAGTATCTTCTTTAACTCTGTAATTTAAATGGGAAATAGCATATTTAAGGTATTATGGCCTTTGCAATAACACTAGAAACAACACATTTATTCAGTCAAATGTTTACAAATTAAAGATGCACCACTGTGATCGAATAAAGTCATAGCTCAGAGTTACGTGATATCACTGTTCTTGTTTTGCTGATTATTGATGACTGGTCGATATTACTTTGGCTTTGTTAAAAGGAATAGTTCAAAATGTTTTATACTTTTGTTTTAAAAGTAAATAGAGCTACAAACAGGGCTTTACCCCCACCTAGTGGAAACCTCATACCATTGTTTAAGAGCCAGCTGTTTCTCCCTGTCTTTAGTTTTTGATGTTGTGTTTTGCTGTTTATTTAGTTTTTTTTCAAAAAGTAGAGATATTTATTTAGCTTGAAGAAACAACATTAAAGTATGAAATGTCTGAAACAAATTCTTCTTCATTTGTACATTTTTATTACATTTGATTCATAACAGCAAGAAAATAGCAATGCAGGCCCCGTGAAAGAATTGACAAGATATTTTTTCTCTAAAGTACACATTTCCATCAAAGTAGCCACACCCCAGGTCATATTAGCTACGTTCATGACTTCAGATTTGGAAACATCAGACATGATGTTGAAGGTAATAAAAACCCCAGCAAACACCGACCAGCTTCAGAAATACCGTTTCCCACCTCCATGTAACTCCTGGTTTCTTCAAACACATTCCATTGTGATGAGATTATATTTATGGCTTTAGACTATGACAATCAGCGTTTTCTCTGCAGTCTCTTTTTGAAGGGGTGGCCGGTATACAATCATGAAATATCCTTTCAGGGGGCCTGGAGCAGGAAACCAAGCAGAAACAAACTGCAGCAGAAGACAGAATACATCATATTAGCACTACAAGCAGAAAAACAAACAAGAAAGGAAAAAAGTTTATATTGTATCATAAACGTAAGCATGCGTGCTTGTAGGAGATGATAGATGACAAAGATGATCAGGACACAATTTGAAACTAACGACTTAATGACCAAACCAAAAAACAGTATTTCAATCTGAAATGATTCATAAATTCTGCCTGAACTACATTCCCTGTTTGATCAGTTTCATCTACTATAAGCACAGCTTACAGAAACATAAAGAACAAACTTATAGCTATGGTGTTTGTGTTGCATGTACTCTCCAAGTGGTAAAACTGTAGTGAGTATATTTTAAGAAATCTTTTTTTTTTTCGTTCTTAAATAAACCACTACTCTATTGTTGTATTTTTATATATATTTTATTCAATTACATTGATAGAATATTGTATACTTTAAATACATATTTCTGTGTAACACGTTTTCTTATTCAATATTACTGTTGTGATTTTTTTTTTTACGGAATATGTATTTCCTTTAACATGCATTCCTCTCGGTGTAAAGTAAGGAGACAGGACGTGTTGTGATTGGTTGGGCCTGGCCATGAAACACAGACCTGTCAGTGCAGGCAGGTTAGGGGACCAGACCCACCCAGTCAGGCCCTTACGCTGGAGGGTAGTGGACGCCTCCTCCGGAAGGTTACCTGGCAAACTACAAGCTGCTGACGAAAAAGAAGAGCAACACTCGGCCTTTTCTGAAACGGGTCGGAGAGTATGAACTCAGTGCCCGAATTGATGCAAGCAAATTTGTTCAGCCTTTCATAACATTTTTTTTTTATCCTAGCAAAATTCCTTGTCATTATAGACATCATTTTTTTATTCAAAATAAGATCTCAATATACATGATTCTCTCTTTTTTGACTATGTACAGAGTGCAAAAAAGTCAACCTTTAACACCTTTATCGCTTCACGATTCCCCACCCACCCTTCTTGTTGGCAGATGGCTCAGTAAGAGACGAGTGTGCAGACTCAGTTTCCTACTCGCCATGTTAACCTGACCCCGCCAGTGATGCCCCCAAAAAGTGATCAGATATGCAGCTTGTTTTCCAACATGGCCCAATTTCCAGGGAGAGTAAAAATATTAAAACAATAGTTACTATTTGAAATGGATACAGTAGAAAATAACATTTTTACTCTAAACATCTAAGAACTAGATTATTATAATAGTCTTTTTTTTCTCATATGACTAGTTACAAACCTTACAATCTTTAAAATATTACTCAGTTATCGGCGATGGTTGCCACAGTGACAACTTAGCCTCTCTGTTCTATTATTTCATCACTGTTGGATACTCATATAAAACATCTTTGTTCAAAGAACACAAACAGACTAGAGAAATTGACAATATGCATACAGTTCAACAATATGCATAACGTAGAAAATATTCAGTTACAATCATAATGATACTAAAATTAACATTACATGGAATTTCAGGAAAATGTGCATGAGGAACACACAAACACACACTTTTTTAACCTTATATTCATTCAAAGATAAATATGAGCAAAACTTAAATTCAAACTAAACATCAACGTACTATCCAAACAAAGAAAAGTAAAACACTCCTCATCTAAATGAAAACACAAGAGAGTTCAGAAAACACTGACAAAAAGTGACAATTACATAGTGCTTTGTGTGTGTTAATACAGTATGGCGTGGATTAGGCAACTGGATGGTTCAAAATGGCATGTTGCATTGTGCTGACCCGATGGTACATTCTAAGGCTTTGGATGAGTTATACAATCGTTTATTTTCCTGCCACTTTCCCTGTACTGTCCACCAATTAAATATGCCTGAAGAACACCCAGAACGCAACCAAAACAAAGAGCTCTAGAGATATACTCTGTACCCCCGATCCTACTTTGGGCTCACTTGTGCTACCCACACATTTTAAAATAGTCTACCCACACTCTAGTAACAGTGACACAAAAATACTTTGGCTGACTATCTGAAAGCAGCTCTCAGGTAAACGTATTAAACACCTATACTTAAATATGTCAAACTACATATACATTACACTTAATCTTCTTTGACTATCTTATTTAAAATCTGCATAACCATAGAAATGAAAAACAAATCGGGTCATATTAATACATCACCAGTTGCCTCGTTTTGATATTCTGTCTCAGCATTGAACCAGTCATTTCCTTTCTAAACATCTGACATCAACCACAGAGTCTAAGCAGAAAAAAAAGAAAAAGCTATTCATTCAGTAGAATATTTGATTAAAGCAGACATCTGGGTAAGGTCATCTAATCAGTGGTGCTATCGGGATCACAGGTAACGACAGGTCAAAACATTGGACACCACATGCTGTCCAACAAAGAAAATAGACGTCTTAAAGGAAATTAATGAGTTTAACACTTTGTAGAACTGCTTTAATACCATTCATTTGTGTTTGAGATGTATGGCACTTTACAGGGATGCCTGCAAGGTTAAAGACATGTCTTTAAGAAATAGAAAGGTAGGCTACAATGGTTTGAAAGACACCTTACAGACATTCAGTTGCTAGTTTGCCTCTGATGGTACTCATGAAATTTCCCTTTAACAAAGTAAAATCATAAACAAAATCGTTGTGCATGCATATGTGATTCAGTCAAGTTATTTTTTTTTATGTCAAATGAAATACAAGGTGCACCTTTGTGTAAACATATAAACACATTTAGGTCAGAGACCGCAAACCAATGAACAAACAAACATCATGGTTCTTGGTCAATGGACGTACCAATCCAGTCGATTTTTCTGGTGACTGCTCCACTCGTTTACCTCATGTTAACATTCAAAGTGTGTCTGGTGAATAAAGGTAAGTTGCCTTCACAGATCGAAAGGCAGTCTCTAATGCAAATTATGGTCTTTTCTGTTGTGTAATAGTGTGCATGAAGTACACGTGAAAATAATCCTAACCAACTTTGCCTCCTATGTTAACATACAGATTTATCACAAACCAAGATTTGGTTTTCTGTTTTGCTCTTGGTATTGCAGGCGATATCTTGGACTAGACACCAGCTCGCTCCAGTCCATCTGACTGGAAAACAAATGTGGGAAAAACTGTAACAAAGCATAGTTTAGACAGTTCTCATCATCTTGAAATTGGACTGGGATTTCTCGTGGCAAGGCCTTATACAAAACCCTGCATAATGTTAAATGAAAACGTTTATTGTGCTTCAAATGTCAAGATTTTTGTTTGAATATTCTTGCTTTTATAATATCTGGCTCAAATGCATAACTCTCTGTTAAACCACAAATTATCTTAGTTTTTCAGAGGATAAAACAAGTAAGAAAGGAAAGATAACAAAAGTAAAAAAATAACGTGCATCCGCACTGTTATTTGAAAATGAGATGGATTTCTTCTTGAACCACTCTTCCACCTATAGTCATGAAAACTGGGTCATACATTTTTCAATAATCTTGCTGATGAAAAAACTAACAGAACCAAACTCCAAGTAACTGGCTGACCAAATAACGTTGTCAGCTGCTAAATATGAAGTGCGGCAAATCCTTAACTTATAAAGCAAAACACATCAAACAGTATTGTTCTAAAGCAAGAATGTGAGAGGTTAGAAGGATGTTCAGTACATACTGTTCTGATTGGGACTCCTACATCTGGGTCAAATACTTGTGACTAGTCATATGGTCTGCAGATATCATTGGAATCTGATGGAGGGGGAGGAAAAAAGGCAGACAGAAGAAAAGGGGTCAGACTGTAATGAGGACAAACGGCACTTCAAGTTGACAATTAAAAAAGGATGTATCTGGTATCTAACTAAGATAAGAGTCTCTGGAAAGCTAGCAAATATTAGAGATGAGCCATTCATGTATTTTTTATTAAGAGGCACATGGGAATCATAAGATTTTAAAAAAAACAACATATACTGATAAGTCGGAGCTGATACCAAAATTGAAGAGAGAGCGAGAGAGAGAGAGAGCAAGACAGAGATAGAGAGAGAGAATTAATACAATTAATGAATGAATTGTATTTTATTATCATATCACTATTGAATTGTATTATCCTTGACGCTTTGGCAGTATTGTTCACCTGACATTCATGCCAATAAAGCATATTGCATTGAATTGAGAGAGAGAGAAAAGTCAGAAGAGGAGCAAACCTGATTGGTTGTTGCGGTTGCAAAGGGAACACTTGTGTGAGATGTATTGGCTGCAGACATAGTGACTGGAGTAGCACCGTGCATCATGGGTACTTGAAGGGAAAGATCACACAGGTAGTTGAAGCAGAGCAGATTCAAAGCTTTTCATGTATTCACTTCTACACATCTATCTATAGATGATAACAAACATTTAAAAAATATGTTAAATAGCTTTAAATCAAATCTATTTTAAGTGAACTTTAGAGTCCTTTCTTGTAATGAGGCGCTATAGAGGTTAAAACACTCGGGATGGAAGTATAAGGAAGCAAAGGTCAGGGGGGTTTGGACTGCAACAAGCATTAGGTGACAGATCTGTGGCAGAGCAAAACGAGGTGCATTCAATACCACAAAGATGTATTGCAGGGCATAATAAAACATATAACTTCTAATTCAAATGACATAATTACATTGCATTCACAATTAATATTTTATCAGTCACACTGTCGGCTGCTTTGAAAAGGGTTTACATTATGCCTTTCCAGTCTGATGTTAAAATCTAAATTCATGAAATGGCGATTGCGCTCACAGTATGAGGTGAGTCGAATGACTCGTGAATGACTGCAATGGGCTCAGAGATAATCAGTAAGGAATGCTGGCACCTACCAATACTTGTTGCTGGTGTCATGCAAAAAATCGAGCCTGCCCATCATGCATTGCAACAGGGAGTGGAGTGAAAAGGGAGAAAACAAATTACATGTTATAAAAACAGACATATAGGATTTAACGTTGGGATGGATTTTGATTTACAGATAGAAATTTAACAATTTAACATTCTGAAAATAAGCTAGCATAAATCATCAATCAAATACTTGGCAGACAAGGATAGAGCTGTGAATACAAGAATGTTGCATAGTATATATTGTCTTGAGATCAAAATCCCTGACATTTTTCAAAAGCCATTGAATATATATAATATGATATTGAAACTGATATTACCAGAATTATTGATAACCATTATTGTGGTTGATAAAAAGACCAACTGTAAAATAATGTAAAATTGCAAATACAGATATAAATGCATACAAGAGTAGTCCTAATACCTTTAAAAATACTAATAATTAACCTGACTCGTCACTCCATGGTATAGAGCAGGGGTGCCCACACTTTTTGGGCTGGTGAGCTACTTTTGAAATGACCAGCTCACCGAGGTCTACCAACCAAAAATAAAATCCCAAATTGCAAGGGTTGCTGAATAACACCTTTTATTTATACATGGGATAATATGGCTGCAACAAACGACTCATTTGATAATCGATTAATCTATCGATTAATGAAACGACTAATCGACTATTCAGACTATTACTGTATGCCTTGCACAATTTCTCAAACGCTCTTATTTAGCCATCAACTTTTAGATTTAGCTTGAGGTTGTTTTAGGCATGTGGAAACTAACAAGACAATAAAGATGAATACTTGATTCAAAAATACATATATTATTAAATTAACAAATTGTTTACAAAACTAACATTGCTTTTTATTTAAATAAAATAAATAATATTTCGCATCAAAAGAAACAACAATGTTTTAACAAATCCTATTAAATAATGTGATGACAGAACTGTGACCAGAATAGCTGAAACTTTAACAAAATAAAGAGTAACTCAGTTTCCTCTAATCATTAACTCCATGTTTGAATCATTGAGTTAACTCCGTGTGTTGCTGCTAGCATACAGAACACCTGACGTGGAAACGTTACTCTGGATGGGGCTACAGAGCTGCTAGAAAGACAGTGGAACCCGGTGCATTCCTCCGTCTGAATGTGGTGCACTTTTGATAAATGTTTCGACACATTGCTCGTGTTCCCGCCCTCACATGCTGAACTCTCTCTTGGCAAGGAGCATTGTCCTCCTCAAGACGGGTAACATGTAACCACACCTTGGAGCGCTTCTCTCCGCCATCCCCTCCGTGTGTTTCTGCATGTAGCAGCCGCGTGTGTGTAAACTGCCCCGCCCCCTCGCGCACAGAAGGGAGAGAGAGATCTCGTCTCGATTGGAAAGGTCGAAAATACACCGACATTTGTTTGTCTTTGTGCATATTAGAAACGAGTTGGCGACACTAAGATTGCGAGATAATGTTTGTGTAGCAATAATACAGACCTTTCTCAACTCGCTACTCGGAGGGAAGTCGCTGTCATATGCCTTGTGAACACTCCGATAATGCCTCTCCACGTTACCTTTCTTTGGCAGAGCGACGCTTGCTTTACAAATAAGGCAAATAACCTTTGAATGTGACATCACAAACAAATATTCTTCCTCCCATTCTGGGTGGAAGTGGTATGTCTTTAGCTTCTTGCTCGGTCCCGCACTCATTTGGTTGTTTGTCTCTTGTTAGTCTCTTTAACTTAATTTGAGTTTTCCCGGCACTTGACTGATTTTGTATCGCTTTGCATTCTGGGTTAACAGACTGGAAAGCGATAGGTCGCTTTTTCTGTCAATCAAGTAAACTCCTGAATTAAGTGGCAGGGAGGCCAAGGGAGGAGGGATCAAAACCGGTTTTGTCTATTTTAACGGAACACGATTTTTTTTTTTAAGAATGACTCGCGATCTACCAGCATTGCCCCCGTACTGAGACGTACTGGGCACCTCTGGTATAGAGAGTGTGCAGTTACAGATGTAGCGCTTCATTTCAGACAGTTTGAAACGCGAGGGCCGTGATCTGCCCTCGCTCAAGGGAAACCTCCAGCTTGACTTGAGACCTCCCCCATGATAAATAAATGTAATGAAGCCAGCTGCAATGGATCATTGATCCACCAGGGGGTGCAGTGGGGTTCCACACTGGAGCTCATGTGAAATAAAGTCAGATACAGTACGCTGGATGTACAGCGGAACTTTGTTAAGATCCATATATCACGGATATCAAACTCTGTGCTAAATAAGAGACATGTAATCATTTACAAAACATCACCATGTTGTTATTTAACAAAATAATGTTGTTTAGTCGAAAAAAACGAACGGGAAGAAATGCAGCCCGGCTCTCGATTTTTAATCCTAATTTAATCATCATCTTCACCACGATCATTTATGTTTATGTTCGCCGAATTGACATGAAATCACTGACACATAATATACTGTATTCAACTTCATTAAAACGTTATTAACGTGCCTAAACTCAGTAATTCACTAAAAATATTTATATTTTAATGGAGCCTCGTCGGCAGATCAGGATCCCAACGCGTAGCGGAGGGATCTTGATCTGCATGAAGGGTGTTATTTTCCCCATAAGGAACACGTCGCTGCAAATTATCACGCTTATTACATGGCCACATTCTCAACAAAGTAACGACATGACTCCCAATATTAATTGAAATGCTTTTATGGATTTAAAAAATGTTTTTATTGATTTAAAAAATAGTTGTTCAACTTGTATGTATTGATTTAAACTGACATGCATCCACTAAGAAAAATAGTCCGTTGTTACCGTTTTAGTTGTTACCCCGGCCACACGAGGACGACAACGGTCGTTTGCCTTACTGTTTAGTGTCATATAGACCGTTCGGCCACACGAGGACGACCGAATACGGCACTAAACGACTGCGGAAACGATAACGGGTCTCAAGGTGGATAGAACGGCATACACAACGCTCTGGGGGGTCCGCGGCTCCGTGTGTACGCCCTATACGATCATTTTCTGATAATGATGAGGCAATAGCCCCGCCTCTCCCCACCTCTGCTGCTCACCCCCGCGTCAAAGTAAACTGCACACTGAATTCAGATTATTTATCTTTCTCTCGATATGGACATAAACGCGAGTGAAGTCTAATCTGACAGGACGGAGACACCTCTCAAACTACCTAAACTAGTTATAAATATGTTTATTTTTACTGTCGGCCGGGTCACTCATTACTGGATCAGCTGCTGCATGAAACAGACACTGGCGCTGTCCGAAGAGAGGGAGGAAAAGAGAGGCTCCGTGTATTTTATTATTATATTATATAGAGTCGTTATTCATTTGTTTTAAAGCTCAATAAATAACAAAGAAGACCTTTGACCGGCACTTTATAATTTTGTCGGAAGATTTCAACTTTAATACACGTTGACTGGCGAGAAACTCTGCCCGGTTCCCTCGGCCCCCACCGCGGAGAATAAACAGAAGGGCAACCATGACAACCATGCTTCTTCGCTGCTTTTGTGGAGGAAGTTACAGCGCCACGTACAGGCTCCTGCATATGTACTGCAGCTTCTCCAGCGGTTGGAGCTAAACGGAGCTGTCTCGTGTGGACAGACACTATCCGGATGACTATTGCGTGTGGACGGAAGCTTTTTTGCGATTGCGTTTGCGTTAATCCTATGCGTTTAGCCGTTTTCGTCCTCGTGTGGCCGGGGCTTAATCAGACCTGTTTTTTAAATGAAATCTGACGGCAGGCATTTAGTTCTGATCACCTATGATAAATGCGCCACACCTAATCGCTGGCCATTCAGCCACACAGCTCCCTCAGTGCTTCTCAAAGTGTGGTCCGCGGACCACTGGTGGTCCGTGAACGCCCCCTAGTGGTCCGTGAGTATATTGGTAACATTTCACATTTGAAATAAATTAATCTATTTAAGTTTTCCGCACTCTCGCGGGAATATCTCCGCAATGGAGCGAGCTTAAGTTTCACTTTCAATTGCATGACATAGCCCAGTGCAACACCTTCGTCACACATGTTGCCACTTGTTTGTACCATTTTCAGGCTATTTGTAATCTGTTCTAGAAAAACTATGTGTTTTTTGGATATTTGTGGAGTTAGGTGGTCCGCGAGTGTTTTTTAATTGGTTAAGTGGTCCTTGGTATGAAAAAGTTTGAGAAACACTGCTCTATACAAATCAAACTGTAGACGGTGTGAAAGCACCTATTGTTTTAAATAATGGTCGGAATGTGACCTGTGAGCCTTCTGAATTACCGTGGGACAGCACATTCTAAACTAAAATGTTCAATCAATAAAGTAACATCTTATCTTATCTTAATAATATCTTCATATTAATAATAATAATAAATCATACAGTATGTGTCCGAAAGGGAGCAGGAGGAAGCAAACACAAAAATATACAAAAAATATACTGTATATTAAAGCAAACGATTGTAACGGTAAAAGTATGAGCATAACAAATAAAGAAGTGTAATGTAAACATTTACATTATTATTATGATTATTTAATATATAAAGACTATATATTATTGAATTACAATATTAGATATACTTTAGTTGATCTAAAATATTGATGTGTTCAAATGCTCTTCAAAACACAACTGCAAGTCCATGAAACTTGTCTTTCTGTATTTGTGAATGAAGCGCCATCTCCTGGTTAAAACCTGAAATTGAAAATCTGGCAATGCCCTCCTGGAAAATAGTGGGAGAGCTTAACATTCCTCGATACTGGTCTTAGGCAGGTCGTAGGCAGGAAGCTGTAAGCTGGAGTCTGAAATGAGGTGCTACATCTGTAAGTCCAAGCATGTATGTTCCGCCTTATCATTAATAATTAAATCACATTCACTGCTGATGTAAAAACATAATAAGTTGTGAGACATGTGATTTGAAAGCCAATAGCAATGGGATCCAACTACACAAGAAGGCTTTGGCCTTACCTGACGGTATGAAGGCAGCCTGCTGCTGAAACTGCATGTTGGCCAGGGCCTGGTGGTACTGGAACATGCCAGCGTTGAACATAGTGGTGGCACCATTGGATTTTTCAAGTGCAGGTCTCTTTGGTAAAGGAGGCAAGATGTGAGGGAGCCCCTGAAGAGGGGACAACACCAAAATAAAGGGATGGGAGTGAGGGAAACCAGAGGATGGTAGCAGTGACATTCAGGACAGAGAGAAAAAAAGAATTTCATTAGAAGATTAAGTGTCCCTTTCAAAGAGCTTTTACAGACACTTGCAAGCAAGCGGTGAACAGTGGAGCGAGCTGACAAACTGTGACGTTTATCTTGCTCATCATAACCAAAAAAGTGTTCTTAGCACAATGTCACAGATCTATAATATGATTTTGAATTAAGCAGTTTGTTCAATACCAGTGGTGAACCGTCAGGGCCTTCAAGGTATTCAGAGAATACACTCAGATAAAACAACCAAAAAATCGATTTAATTATATAAATAAAATGTATATAAAATGAATAAATGAGAATCAAATCTGTGTTGTTGATCTATAATATTACAGTGTTACGTTGATTTGTTTGTCCTTCTCGGACCATGCACTACGCATTTCAGTGGTTTTGTGTTAGAAAAGAAAGCAACCAATCAGATCTTGTTCTGGGTCTCTGGGTAGAATAGAGTGGCGAAGTCCCTCCCCTTCTGGTGGACCTCCATGGGACCTTATTTCGAAAAAATTATGTATTGAAGTCAATGGAGAGAGAAAGATTATCTTTCGATCCCGTTTGAATTGTGCCACGTATTACACATATGATGTTTGTCAATTTAAAAGATAATTTTGCAAGTAAAAAAAAAAAAAATGTGTCGTAACACATTTGTTTGTGTGAAACGCTCAATGAACTACATCTCTGGCCTCGCAGAACAACACACGTCACCAAGATGGCCGTCACTACTGTCTTGTCAACAAAACGATTGACTGCCCTCACTATCACCACAATGAAACACGTCCAGACTCCAGACGAATGTCATGCAAAGCTGCCAGCCTGCCTTCCTTTGATTCTCTCTGAACTGCCTGGTCTTTTTAATGTTTAATGTCAACCATTTGTGCAGATAGCATGAAGTAGAAAAGATCGGCGATCGCCAATGCTAGCGTTAGCATTTCTCCCCCGGGCTTAAATTGTGTATTATAGAATGATCACACCGGTGACAGTAGCCTACTCTTCAAAGGGTTCACGAAATATGACTACTACTCTTACTGTTTAACATTTTGGGTTACTTAATGTCACTTCATATTAAGGCTAATAAAAATGACAAGGCTGTAATGCTAATTAACGTGCTAGCTAGGTAGCTAACTTGATCCTGGTCCTTTCATCAGACGGGAAGCGAAAGAATGAGCAAGATCCATTGCTGGTATGATAATAACCTGGTACTAAGCACACAGGCATCTTGTTAAAGTTATCTTATCTTAGCCAGCGCCATATAGATAGATTATATCTATATGGCGCTGATTTTAGCTATCTCTTAGTGGAGAAAAACAATTGTGACATCACTTACGCTACTCTGGGATTTGTAGTCTTTCTAGTTGCGTATTTTTCATAGTCTTATATTTCAACAGTTTTACGACAAACTGTGACTTTTTTTACATCGAAATAATTTTTTAAGATTGACAAACATCATATGTGTAATTCATGGCACCATTCAAACGGGATCGAAAGATAAGTTTTCTCTCTCCATTGACTTCAATACATTATTTTTCTGAAATAAGGTCCCATGGACCGGAAGTAGATGGGCGTGACTTCGCCACTCTATATCCTTCAACCAAGGTATTCTATATCCAGGGGTGCACATAACTTTTTTGCCCTGGTTCTCAAAGGAGCACCTGGAGATGTTGCTTGGTGCTCATCCATAAAATGAAATAAACCCTAACTTTTGAGGGGGTCTTTATTTGCCAGACACACGGCACTGAACACACGTGCAGAGGTGAACACAGAACACACACACAGAGGTGAACACAGAACACACATGCAAACAGAGGTGAACACAAGACAACATTAGCACGACCAGTAATCCTACAACCTGTCATCACTACCCTCCTGACTGTTCTCCTCACTGTCTTCCTCTCTGTCAGACATGGTAACTGATGATGTAGGCCTACTTCTTTCTCTCTGGTTGAGTCTGTGATTAGCTGCTTGCATCCACAAGTCAACAGCTGGGTTTGGGTCGAAAGTCTCTGTTGTCATCTTAGAAAAGTGGATGTAATCAAATAAGTATGTGAACATAACCAATAACCTACCATAGCCAATAACAAATGAATGTAACTTATTTTATTTGTGTTGTTCATTCATATCTTATTTTACCTTAACATTTATTTATTTATGCATTTTTTTTATCTCTCCAGTTTTAAAGGATATTTTTGGTTACTGTCCTATAGTATACATTGGAATGATTTCAAACCTGTTTATCCCAATAATTATAAAGGAGTGCCTTGGAAATATGTGTTTACATAAATTGTGACCAAACCGTTTGAACTTAGACTAAAGTGAACTATCTAAACACTCAAGAGTCCTTTACCTCACTGAGCTGTAGTATCAGCCTCTCAGTCTGACTGGAGAGGACTCTCCCTCCACATTATTGTAGAAACATCTTCTTCTTATATCCGTTAGAGCAGCTAGCACGGCACCAGATTCTAATAACAACAGCGCCGGTACCGGTGCACCCTCCCTCTCTCCCTCTCTCCCTCGCACTTTAGCTGTGAGCTGCGGGTGCCAGATAAGCCAACATCCCCCATTTTCATCACTTACAGCGGCCATCGTACAGGGCAAATGAAATGTGTAACCGGGGTGAAAAGGGTGTTACATTTACTTAATTATGAATATTGTTACATCAAGGCCGAAAATTAGGATGAGCCCCAACGGTCAAAAAAATGTTTTTCCCTCCCAGAACTGCCAGCGCAGCGCCTCCACAGATCTGGCGCCCGAGGCGAACATCTATAACGCCAGTGCCACGGGCCGGCCCTGAGTTCATATGCAACTCGCAAATATCTTTCTCTCTTTCTCTCTTCTCTCTTCTCTCTTCTCTATTCTCTCTTCTCTCTTCTCTCTCCTCTCTTTTCTCCCTCTCCCTCTCTCTCAATGTTGGTGCGCAAATGCGCCTTTTTTCAAATGACCCGGTGCTCTTTTTTTGGCGGAGGTGCGCATGCGCACCTGCGCACCAGTTATGTGCAGCCCTGTCTATATCCTTGATAGAATGCCCTGGCCGTTGCACTGAATGAGAGCATGTTTGGACTGACAGTTTGATCAACCAATCATATATTGATTTGTAGCCAATGGGCGTATTCTTTCAGAGTTTCCCTCGGTTCCAGGGTACTCTAGAACAGTGGTTCCCAAACTTTTTTCAAAAGAGCCCCCCCCCAAATGACTCCTGTTGGAAGTTGCGCCCCCCCCCCCCCCCCCCACACACAAGGGGGGACGCAACAGCAGTAATTAAAGTTTAAAAGTCTCAAAAATGCTACAACTCCTGTCACAAACTAGATGAATGTGAAGTATTTTGTTAAAGGAGGATGAAAGCGTAATTAAGGAGCACTATTGGAGTGACTTTGATGGTTATTGGACTCAGGATTAATTCATTTGGATTCCCGCTGTATCAAGAAATTAAAGGTAGACGCGGAAGTGGAAGCAATTCACAAAGGGATTAAACTGTTTAAAACACATGCTCAAAGTAAACCGGATTTTGCCGATGTCTTTATGTGGATTCAAAAGTCGTAAATAATCTACAAAATGGAGGAGACCGATCTGATCGGAGCAACTGTGACAAATAATCCAACTGAAACCAGCATGGACAATATGTTTTAAAAATGCGCTTATCCAGAAAAGCCTGGTTTGGACACTTTACGGGCAGAAGAAACATTTCTATTAACGTTGATGCAAACACACGTATGGTGAAAAAAGAGAGAACTATTCGAAGCAGAACAAAAACAGCGTAATATACCATCTGACAAAGGCCTGTGCTATAATGCTTAAATTAACTGGCTATTCTTTATAATATACTCAGATCAATAGGAGACAGAGATGTTAAGTTATAAATCAAGGGTTTTTATTATTATTTACAGCAGGGGTGGGGAACCATTTTCCTTTCAATTTTTACAACATCCTCCGAGGGCCATACAAATGATTGAACTCAACCTCTACTTAAAAAAACTAAAATCACAGCCCATTCATTTCGCCTTTCTTTCATGTTGTGCAAAGAAAAAGCAACCTCTTAATCCAGATATCTTACCATGACTCGCGCATGCATGCATGTGCACGGTTGTGGCAGAAATATATGGACACAAGATGTGTGCAAATGTATTTAGTATCCTATCCATGTGAACATGATTTAAGTGGGGGGGGGGGACCTAACCTCCTCTAGTAGGGGGGACCGGGGGCATGCTCCTCCGGGAAGATTTTTTTTTTTAAATATTGAAGTTAAAAGCATCAATCTGGTGCACTTTGAGAGCGGTCTAGATTTCTTCTTATTTTTTGAAGTGAGAAGTTGTCCGTCAGTCGGACTGACAGTCGGACTGACAGTCGGACTGACAGTCGGACGGACCAACCACCCCCAAAACGAAAACTCTTCGGTTCTCCACGAATTACACAAGTCACCCAAATCAGCGTTAAAAAAGTGGGAGGCCCGAAAAGCGACTAATTCGCATCACTGATTAAAGAAAGAATTATAAATGTCTGTCTTTGTATGCCTTTAATACTAACTTGAATTGTTATTCAAATTAATTAATCAATTATTTTTTATATTTTATTGTAATGTAGAAACAAAGGCTTTTAGTGACAATCATGTATTGCTTTACAATTATATGTAAATAAAAGTCTAAATATGATATTTGGCCTCAAATCATCTGAGGCCTGGCACCCCCCCCTGCGATCTTTGGCGTCCCCCCAAGGGGGGCGCGCCCCCCCAGCTTGGGAACCACTGCTCTAGAAGGCCCGCTAGTTAACTGGCTCGAGACAGAGGATCTATGAATGCGACGAAGCAATTCATGCTGTTTTATTGTTTTTAACGTTGAAATGACAAGTGCAACAGGTGAAGATGAAGTTGTTGCAGAATTGTTGTGAGTACCCTTTTCAAGACGACAATTCAGTGAAAAGACGGACATTATCATGCCACGGAGGGGGGGGGGGGGGGGGCGGTGGGGTGTGTGTGTGTCTACAGAAGGTCCAGTTGCGATAGACACGGTTCGCCGCTGTTCAATACATATTTTGCAGTCTACAGAAGGTCCAGTTGTGATAGACACGGTTCGCCACTGTTCAATACATATTTTGCAGGCTAAGGAGTAACTAGATCTTTCTTTTACCATAACTGTAATCACAGCTGAAACTGTTTTTTGTATTGATTGTTGGACCGACAACAGAAATTATGTAGTAAGAGAAAGCTGCACTGCCAGCTTCATGAGAATAGTACATTAAGCCATGTTGAGACACCTCTTTAACACTTACACATGCATGGGAAGTGACAGAATCATGCAAAGACTGTTTTATTAGCAACTAAAATGTTATATTTGCATGCCATCAATAACTTGCTTTTGAGATGCACTTAAGGTGATGAACTGACCACTGTGAGTAAAATATGTAGGGGGGTCTACTACTTAAGGCCTTCTTTCTTTGGTTTAGTCCGTCATGTTTCGATAAAAATGCAAATGGACATTTTACGAAAAAATATATATACGAAACGAATGGCTTCATCAGTTCATCACCCCTTAGTGCTTTGTCATTACATCTACTTAGATTTTTACAACTAAAAAGGTATATCTACTACACCACAGCTACATGCCAAGCTAAAAGGTGAAAGGTCATAGTACCAGGTCAAAAGTTGCGTTGAGGGGTCGCTTCAGTGATTTGACAGCCGACTGAGTCTTAATTAGCAGGCAGCGAGCACATGATGGCAATGGGCCAATGGGGTTCAAGCGCATTAACATAAACCAGCAAGCGAAGTGTGGGTTGGTGAAAAAAAAAAAAAAAAAAACAACAAACAAATAAAAACAAATCATTGGAATGCAATATACACCAATAACAAGACTAAGGCATGCAAAAATAATTAGGGTTTAACATAGACATATTGTCTTTAACAAATTCCATTTCCACAAAAAACTGTAATGCTTAAAAAATATATATTTTATATCTATCAATTAAAATAAAAAGTCAATATTTGACTAGGCAAAGGGCTATAATATACTATACCTGATTGGGACACATTTTAGAAAGCTAATACCAACATGGTGGAAATTAACAGCAAGCTTTACAGTTGACTATTTAGAAAAAATCTAACAACCATTGACTGCAAACAACAACAAAATGTATAACTATCAAAGCCGCAAAACAAGGAAGAGCAGGAGAAGGGGAGCAGTAGGCTCAGTCACAAACTAGCATGATCACAGCCTGCTGCTAATAAAGCACACATCAACTCTGAATCCTCTCGGTGCATATTGGGTTAGAGCTAAAGGGAGCAGGAACAGACGAGACTGGGAATCTGGGATGTGTGATGGAAGGTTGAGTAAAAGTACAGGGTAGAAGGTGTACACTTAAACAACTATATTCATACGATTTTGAAAGTCTAGGCATTGTTCACAACTGCTTATGTGTAGGTCATGTTGAATATAAACCAAATATTAGAATAGTTTAATAATTTGTTTTTGGACATCGCATGATAAATAAAATCTGGCTTAATCTATGGGATAACTATATGAACTCTACTCTTTAGGTTATACTTAAAGGTCACCTATTATGCAAAATCCCCTTGTTCATGTATTTTATACATAAACATGTGTCCCCTCTGTGTAAAGAGATTCTGAAAGTTTCAGGAAAAAAGATTCGCTCACTTTTTGTCCTGATCCATTTATATAAAAACCTGTCTGAAAATGAGCTGATCAGATTTTGGCCACTTTATGATGTCATAACGATTTTCTGGCTTGTGTAACCATTAGCCAACCAAGGTAACCCCCGCCCCCCTTATCACCTGAATCTCCTCCTAGATTACCATTGACTTCTTTTTAACCAAATATCACTCAGAGGGGCGTGGGGAGGGGCTCCTTATTTTCATCTGAAGTAACAGACAGAGAATCAGCACTTTTGAAACAGGGCTGAAACAGGGCTGAAACAGGGCGGAAACAGAGCGGTTTATGGGATGCTACAATGCACGATATGTTTGGTATTTCAAGCAAAACACTTCAGAGACATGTTTTGTATTATATCTGAGACCTATAATATATTGATGAAAAACAGTATAATAGGGGACCTTTAAGTGGTTTGAACTGAAAGTTATTTATCATGTTGCATAAACTGAGGTTGCTATGATACATTCAATGTTATTTAGCTTGAGTCTTTACTGATGTTCAAATCTGTGGACAGATACCTACCATGGCTGCAGCAGCCGCTGCCTGGTTAACTTGGTGTTGGGCAGCTTTGATCTTGGCCTGCAGGTGAGCCGGAGGGTGAAAGTACTTGCACTTCTCCCTCGTGCAGCGGCCCTTTATGTAGTCCATACACACGGTGACTGTGTTGTCGTTGGTGTCGATCATCGTACTATCTGAAGGGTGGGCAAAGCGACAGTCGTTCTCCCCACGTGAGCAGTTACCCCGCTGGTATTCCCGACACACCTGGTGCACAAAATTACACAAATAAACTCGCCTTTTACAACTTTGTATTGTTAAATGTTGAGAACACAACATTATAACACACCTTTATGCACACAAACAGCAGACAGACACGCACATCATGAAGTTACTGTTCGCTTTACTTCAGATTTGATGAAGTAATCAATCTGTTCAGTCATTTCAGAACCTGACAATCACTTTACCAGACAGAGCTAACCAATCTTAGTGACAGGTTCGGCCATTACTGTTGTTTGATAAGCAGCACAGACCGTAACCAGTGTTTACAGACTCATCAATCACATAACATTTATCCATTATTCAAATGAGATGTGTTGTTGTTTGTTCTCCATATACAGTAGACAGAAGGGGGCAACATCTGCTTGAGCAGTTCGGAAACTGGTTGCCTCAGCTAGAATGTAGAGGCTCATGGGAAATATGAGGCTGGTTACCCTCAAGGGTGGCTGCAGCTGACGTAATATCCAGCCCACGCACAACAACACACACACAGACACAAGGTGGGTGCACATTTAAATTATGAGGCAGCATTTTTCCCCCCAAATTGACAATAACCTAGATCTCAGGGAACAGTCAGCCTCCATTGTATCTGAATTGCATTCAGGATCCTACTCTAAATTAAACGTAATTTCATGGTGTGTTGTATCGATCTATCAGTTGTTGTAAGAGATACAAGCCATTTACCGAATGTCTGTTTACTAGTCTCACTGTCTGCATGCGTAAAGGATTTGATTTGTGGTGGAACGGCTGACAGACAAAAGGCCACCAACAGTGTAATCTACAAACTACCCCTGCTCAGTCTCCTGTCATGACAGCTCATCATCCCCAATCACCAATCTGTGTGAGCGATGAAGCAGGATTCTCTCTCTCTATCTGTCTCTGCTTTCTCTTTTGTACCTCTATCACTCACTCATTCACATATTGATGTACACGTACACAAGCACACTCATACACAATAATTCCTCACCACTGCCACCATCATCACCACTGACACTGGTCTTATTTAAAAAAGAAGAGAGACTGCCTTGTTGTCAGGCAGATGTTTGAGAGGCAAGTAAGGGAGGGAGGAAACAAGGGAGGGAGCAAGTGAGAGAGTGGTTGATGAATAAAGAGTAAAGGACAGACGGATGGAGAACAAGGAAAGACAGAGTGAGAGTCATGGAATCAGGTGAGTGTGGCGATCATTGAAAACTATTTGAGATGAAAATAATGGAAATGGAATGGAAGCAATTTAATGTTCTCTGCACCAGGTGTGGACCAGGGTTTTTAACTGCGGTTAAGAATGCATTAGAGAGAGCAAACGCAGTGGAAGTGCTTAGTTAGACAAACAAATAAAGGGCCCATTAATCATATTTCTGTCCCCATGGTAACTGTCCCTCTGGGCCATTTACATCACCATGGTTTCAGATAAGCAACCTTATGATTTAATGCACAATGAAAGGCTGCAGTACAGCTCCATAAAGATAGAGACAGAGAGACTGTCTGGAAAGTATTTCTCAGGATAACAGTCTGAAGGTTTGTTTTTCTAAAAAAGGAATTTCTGTCAGCCTCAAGGAAATAGCCTGTAACATATCTGCGCATGTGTGTTGGTCCACCAAATTCCAGCTATGTTTATTTTTGAATGACACACACTAGAAAATAAAATATGTCTGTCCCTTTTCTCGTACATATTTTCAGTAAACCTAACCACTGGCTCTAAATCTTTTGATGGAAAAACTGTCAAAATGGGCAGATGTTTCCTCCATTTCCAATTATTGCATTTGATTGATAAATATGACATAATTTGTTAGTCTGCTTACTAGACTTGGGGTGGATTTCTATCAATCCTTTGCTAGACAATTTATTGAATCTTTCTATCATTCTATCAACAACTTCTGGCCTCTAGTTTTCCTACACTCTTATAACTTCTCTGCGGTCATGACTTAGATAAGGAATGTAATCACATGTAAAACCTTTACCCTTTTTTTCTGTTATATTTGTCTCTACTTGCCCCAGCAGCTCCCCTGACACAACAACAGGTCTACAAATTGATTTTCTATATCGCCCTCGTTCTCTTTTTCCTGTCATTAAACCACTCTCTTGCTCTGCATGTCATTCACTCCTCAGCCTCACCCCTGTTAATTACCAACCCAACGTACCATTTTAAATATAACCTTCCCAACGTTCTTGCACGCCTCCTGGCTGCCTCTAATGATTTGCCCATTATTCCACTTTGTGTTTCCCGGGTATAGGGCTGCATAATGGAGGAGATTGACTTACTTTCCAATTGATGATTTTCTAAACACAGCTAGAGGAGCGGCACTCAGGTTTCAAATAACTGATTGCCCTCATGTAAGAATTAAAGATGTTTCGTAAAATGACATGATACAGTTTATCTTGAGCTCGGGCCAAACAAAGCTGTATCCTGCTGGTTGATGGGATGCAGCAGGGAAAACGACTGTGTTTGTAGACATACTCTCATTAACGTCTATCTTTGCTTAAGTCTGGGTAATGACTTTATTATGGTAAATGGATGAAGTTACTGTAACATAAATTGTGGGCCAGATACATAATTAAAGTCTACAAACAGAAACAGTTGAAGCAAGACTTTCCAACCAATGTCTTTAATATTCAAACAGGCACAGTCCTATTCAAAGCGCAATATGTTTGCATAGCTGAGGAAAAGGTCCTGTGACTCGGAGTGTGGTGTTTAGTAGAGTCTTGTTGGTCTATATTTTAATCTGTAACTGATATAAAAGTGAACAAAAAATGATACAAATCCAACTATCTGTTTGGTCTTTGGAATGTGTGCCATTGTTCACATTTAATCTCTTTAAACATACATGTGTGTGTTTGTGAATGTATGTGGGTGTTGCTCACCTCCAGTCTGTCTGTCCTCATGAGTTTCTGTGCGGCAGCAGCAGCAGCTGGTATGGATACATTGGGGTTGCTGGTGACCAGTACGGAGCCATTGGGCAAGATGTCAGTGGGCATCAGGCCAGGCGAAACAGGGCCAAGGTAAGGGTTAAACGCAGCGGCTGCTGCAGCAGCAGCATTGACATTGGTTGCAAGACTGGGTGTGACTGAAAACATGGGCTGTTGGGACAAGCAAAATGAGAGAGTTGGTCAAAGGAAAGCTAAACTATGTTATTCACATTTTCAAGATCTATGTAAAAACAGTGAACATTTGAATAATTACAATGTCATCCTTTCTGGCTCCTAATAAAATATTACTGATAGAAGAAAAGAGATGTGTGCATCATCAACAGCCAAGAAGAGGATACGAACTGTGGTTGGGGTTGTGAATGCAAAGAAGGTGTCAAAAACAGGCTATGTGCCTTGATCTGAGAACAAAACATTACATCTTCTTTAACGTCTTTCTCTTTCAATTGAGATTACACATGAAGGAGGCCTAGACTCTGTTTGTAGTCACCTACTCCCTACATGTTTCAGATGGAATCATACGCTTCACAGACCAGAGATCACACACATATAGGTGTAATAACGCTGAGGGATGTCAAGCTGTGCGTGTGTAGGAGGGGGAGATACTGTAAAAACATGTACCGCCTGTAAGGGCTTCACTAGAGTTTGAAAAACACATTATGTGAGAGGGAGGCTAAGTAGTATGCTAGCTGACATAGTGAAATGCAAGTTTTCCCTGCACGTTCCTGACCTCAGCCCCAGTCTGAGGATTGTCTCTTGAGCCCCTGCCAACACGACACAGTGAGTAATAGAGCAGCCATGGCTGTACAGCTACATTCCCCCCCAAAACCTCCTTGCTGCTCTGGGATGACTCAGAAAAATCAGGAATAATGGCCTTGTGGATTTTCAGATTCTTTCTGGGCTTTCTTATATATATCAGTTGTATGATATTAGTTTGGATTTTTTTCAGCTGAATGTTGGTATGATGTCAGTGAAAAGACTCACAGTCACGAGACTGTAACAATACACTGATGTCATCCTGCAAAAACTTTGTGATCTTGCTAATGACCTTTTCTGGAATCTATTTTTCTTTACTTTGCATCAATATGTGTCAGGACATTGTAGATTGTTGCTATGAATCACAATCGCAATAGATTGAAAACAGTTATGTTAAATTGGGCATATTCACACAGTATGATACAAAACACATATCACCGCATGCCTCCGAACAGCAATTTGTGCAGTGATATGAAGTTTGTCAGACATTGGATATAAAGATTTCCTATTTTACATATCCTGAACCCGTGATAAAAAAGTATGTCCTAAATGAGCATGCAACTGTAGCTACATCAATTAATCGCTTTATATTTTCTTTCAAAAGATATTATATTATAATACATTTTTCAATACAAAATGATATCTTTACAACATCTTTAAAATAGAGACAAGGTGTTTGAAGTGGATTGGAAACATACAAATGTTTATTATGAAACAAGTGTAATTGCTTAAAGGGGACCTATCATGCAAATTGCACTTTTGTACATCTTTTATACATGAATATGTGTCCCCGGTGTGTCAGGGAACTCACCAAGTGTCAGAAAACACAACCCTCTCTCTTTTCCTCCATACCCAAATCTCTAAAAACGGGGCTGCAACGGAGCTGATTATTATTTGAATTTTTCTGACGTCAGAAAAGGGTTGCTCCGCCTATATGGGCAACTCTCCACATATCAGGGGAATGAGAGACCGCTCGAAAGCGCTGGAGACGCTGTAGTACATATGCCAGGCCTGTATGTGGCGCTGTAGTCTGCCACAAAAGCAGAATCAGCCCTTGCAAAAACAGGGCTGGAAAAGAGCAAATTGAGCAAAATGAGGCATGGCTAAAATGCATGATCTGTTTGGTATTTTGAAAAAAAAACTTCACAGACATGTTTTATATAGGTATGGCCCTACAATATATGTTTCAAATATAGCATGATGGGTCCACTTTAAGTTATCCGGCTCAATCCAAATGCACAAACTTATTTAACTGGATGTCTTTAAGACGATCACAGTGTTCTCCATCATCTAGTATACTGCAGTAGAGCCACACCCTAGCATCAGCCAGCATTTAACGATTATAATTAATCAATGAACTAAATAGTTACAGTAGCCTATAGGCCTCCATACTTTGTGTTTAAGGTATTGTCGTATTTATAATTTAAGTGTATTTACAGTATAATATAATACTGGTGGTGCCTGTTTGTAAGATTGGGGTACATTTCAAGTGTTATCTTATTTTCCTTTTTACACTGCAAAACTAGTCAGATATAGTGTTTCACAGATTCCGCTTCGCTTTGCCTCCGTTGAAAGTTCAGAAAAGTTCAACTTTTCAAGCGGCGACGGAAGCGCTAGCCAATCAAACCGTGTGCTTGTGTGTCCGGGGCGGGAGATTAATGTGATTGGTTGTTGGTCGCGTGCCAGACACGCCAACTGGCAAGCTTCAACGCGACGGAACCGTGTGGACGTACCGTTACGGCTGTGCCGTGGCGTGCACAGCGATCGCGGCCACTCTATTCAATGCATCTGTTTCCACCAGACGCGCCGCAATACGGCTCAGAAGCGTCCCAGAAGCGTCCCAGAACTGTCCCAGAAGCGTCCCAGAACTGTCCCAGAACTGTCCCAGAAGCGTCTCGGCGCTGGCCTCCACAAAAAATACGCGGCTGGTCTATTTTTGACGCGAGACGTTGCATAGCACCGGCCAGGAAGTGGAACGGTCAGAGCATCCAGTCAATCCCCAAAATAAACACATTTTGCAGAGCCTATCCCTCCGTAGTCTTTCAAGTAAAATGCCAGCGTTCTTCTCCGGTTTACAGGCACTGTGTAAATTATATAGAATAATTATGATGATGAATGCATTTTTTTACCACTAAAATACAGCAACACATCTTTGATTCATGTCGTTTATAACTGGACTATTACAATTATTGTTAACTTTTTTTGTCTGTACAAAGTAGCCTGTCCAGTAAATATGCCCAAATCAACAAAAACTGCAAGCTGGCACGCAAGACGCTCCGCTTCTGAAACGCGCCCGGTGGGGTATGACGCTGTAGGAGGTCGGAACAAAACCGCGGCGCAGCCGTAACACGGCGCAGACGGACCCGGTGGAATCCCGGTGTAGCGTTCCCATTTTTTTTTAGTACTGCTTTCTGATCAAATTCAAATAATGAAAACCGAGTGATGGACTGGTTTCGACTGGGTTATGGTATTACTGTAGTAGTTGTCTTTGACGTTAACTGCAATGCATTTATCGTTAAAGCGCCTGCGAAGCCACTTTTGTCTCGTAGCCAATCATATCCCGATCCGGCCGCAAAGCACCAGCCCAGTAATCAAACCACCAATTACAATGAAGTAAGTGTGATTTTCAAAAGTAAAGCTAGCTAGTTAGCTGTTAATTTCTTCTTAAAAGGTGGTTACACAAACATTTTTCATGGCAAACATAACAAAAACCTGCATTGGATCCAAATGCCAACAGAAGTACCAACGATGGACTCACAGCTGGTGCCTTTGCTAGTATCGAGTCACCGGATACATGTACAGGAGGGTCCCGTGAGCAGAGACTGGAGCCGAGCCAGGCAGTAACGACATCAGACAGCTGGCTGATAGTGCTGGGAATCTGCCATAGGCCTACTGCTACGGACTTGGGAGATAGAGGAAGCGACCCGTCTCAGCCCAACCTGCCGGACTATCCGAAAACTTCATCTGATAACTTCAAAACCTACACACTGAATACAGCAAAGATGCAGAAACTGTGTCCTGTTTTCTGTGCTGGCAGTTGAGACAGAAGAGATGAATGATGTTTATGATGCCACTGCCAAGCGTTGCATATTGTTGCATTAAGTTTAAGGTAAGATAATGAGTTGAAGTTATAAGCTGCCACATAATTATATTTTAATTACGTTTAATAACTTTTAGTTCAATATGCTTATAATATTAAACACTAATGACGATCTCTACCAGCTTGGTTACATTTGCTATAAAAACATAATCAAAAGTGAAATGCATTTTAACCTGTGCGAATTGGGTTCGTCAAACCACTCACCACAGCTTATTTTTAAACTAAACTTTAGTGGTTGGCTTAATTTGTCTCTGTTTCATTTTGTAAATAATTTTGTGATGGAAACTTATCCTACATAAAATGTTTATTGAGTAGTTCTACTTCAAATGCTAAGCTAACGTTAGCTTATCAGTTTAGCAGGTGTAGTTGTGTTGGCAGTAATTTCATTTTACTCTGGTTTGTGGAAGTGTCTAAAGGAAACTGTTTTGTAATGCACAACACCTCTACTAAGTAATGTTGACAATTGTATTAAAGGCAATAAAGGGGAATTTATTTAATTGTAGAGTTTGTAATTACTTAATTTGTATGTTGTAAGACTTGATGCAGTGATTTGTCAATCAGTATTTCTGATAAGAAATGGTAAACTACATAATAACGTTTCTAAAACTGACCTTCGTAAGAACTGTGGAGGTAGATTTAGGACAAGGCAGGGTTGGTAGTTTTGTTTGGATTTACTATTGTTATGAAAACATATTATTTTCTTAAACAGGTCTGAGGCAAACATTGGAGGCTTCTGGAGAGGGAGTGTAAGAACCTGAAGCTGTCTGTTATTTGATTAAAGGGATGCAACACACTACAGAAGCACTACAGAAGCAAATGACAGGCAAACAAAATGAAACTATGTGGAACTCTGCATCTCTTTAATATATGAATATTGTTTTATATCTGCTGTTTTAGGCCATCCCCTTTTCAATATAAAAAGTAACACTTAAACAAACCACACCTGATTTTAATAAAACAACCATGCCCTGTTCATTTCCTCAGTAAATGCATATAGTCCGGGAGCCGTGAGGTTGAACCTTGTTTCATCAGATAACGTTTTTTTTCTCTGCTGTTTCTTGTAGCTTGGGGGTACCTCTTCAAAATCCAACAGGGTGCCCAGTGATATCCCTTGAGCATTTTCGGATATTAACCCCTTTATGCCCAAAATGCCCAAATCCCTGAAAAATAAGGATTTGTGAGATTTCATGCAAAATTCTCAAACGAAATGCACCAAATGTTGCTTTCTCCAATGTTTATTCATAAAGGAGGTCATGTGTTCCAAATTAATGAATATTAACCCTTTTATGCCAGCTTT